GTGTTGCCAGGGCACAGCCTTGAATGGCCCCTTTCATTTCCAAAGTGTTTGATAACTCAGGTTAAAGAGCGCACACTGATTTATGAAAACCTGGTTTTAATAGGTAGAATGTCTCTAGTATAGAGCAACTAGACTGTCTTTTTTATGCTGACTCTAATAAAATTAGAGAGAAAACCGTATTCAACTTACCTTAACCTGAGCGACACTGCTAGGTTCACTGGCATTTTCACTTTTCTTTAAAATGTTCCTGTTAATGCTTCCTAAAGTAAGCAGAGCATCTTCAAGTGCTAGATGAGCTAGTATAGTTTTCAATTCTCAGTCTGGCTAAGTGCAAAAATGGCAGCCAGCCAAAAGAATGAGCTTCAAAAAGTTTGCAGCGGGGTAAACGGAACAGAGCTCACAGCCCAATGCTGCGAGTCCTGCCTGCGTGTCTTCTTTGATATTAGCCTCACATCACTCTAACAGTGTTAAAATCAATGGAATTACTCCCGATTACTGCAGAACCTATACAGTACTGCAAAGAGGTGTATTAGTTATGCCCATTTGTATGTATGGCTTTAGGACTTTCCTTAGCTTGCCAATGAGTCAAGACCCAGCCCCATGTATTTGTGAGCAGATCCTGCCACCCCCACAGAGGACCCACAGCTCCCTCCAGGGGCCTGCTTTCATGAAACCAGATGGAGACTTGGGGACATAGAGTTCTGCATCCAGTCTCCTCATCCCTGGAATGATTTTGTAAACAAAGAGCACAAATAGGCTGTAACACAGATCAAACTGCAAATGGACCTTGTTCATTCTTGTCATCTTAGGTACAAGTGTGCAGAGTGTTAGAGCCTGGAAAGAAAGTAACTGGAGTCTTGGGCTCAGCGCACAGCATAGGTGGGCACTATGCTTTCTCTCCTAATACACATCTGTTGGGACCTGCTAAACCAGGGCAGGCAATTATTTTGGGTGGAGGGATACTTAATGAATTTTGGCAAGCCGTCGAGGGCTGCATGACAGGCAGCCAGGGGCAGATAAATTTTAATTTTCTAAATTTTTAGGGGTCCCATGGGCTGGATAGAATGACCTGGTGGGCTGCATCTGGCCCGTGGGCCACATTTTGCCCACCCCCATGCTAAACCCTGGGTATTTGCCACTCCTTAGCTACTCCTGGGGACAGCCTGCCAAGCAAGCTGAACTCTGACAGGTGTGGTACGCTGTTTTTGGGAGGTGGAGAGATGGCCCCTTGGAACATAGACCAAAGACCGCCCAACTCATTTTATTCATGAACTGCGGCTACTCTAACCTTAAAGAACCCTTGTGATGAAACCAGCACATTAACCAAATGAAGCAACAATCCTACTTCCATCACACTTGGCGGGAGAAGGGGGAGAGAAAGAAAGAGGAAGAAGCATTGCCTGAAAAGAACTAAGAGAACGTAGTCATCATTGTGCTGAGCTAAAGTAAATTTCCCCTCTTCCTTCTATGATGATTTTATATGCTCCCAGCTGCATTTTTTGTTCTAATCTTGAAACATCAGGGCTCCTCAGCTTCACTTCTGCAGCTTCTTTCTTCATTGCATTGTATGTTCCACTCCAGTTCAGCTGTTAAAACTGTCAAATGTCTAACTGAAGCTTAAACAGGAAGTGAAGGGAAAAATGGAGCAAAATTCTGGAGCCTTTCCTGGCTGTATCAGGTACCTTTTCCCAGAATGTCAAAGCTGCAGAAGACATTAATAAATTTAGCACCAATATCCTGTCAGAACTGTTTATTCTGGTCAGATAAAACTACATTAGGTGGAAAAACATTGATTTCCTGTCAGCATCTCAGACTGTAACCACTAAAGTTTTGTTTATAAAAATCCAACTAGTCCCCGAGCCCCACCCCCCCAGCCAAGCCTACTCTGCAATCTACAGTCTGTTCAGTTGTAAATACTGGCTTACAGATACCAGCCCTTGCTGTATGGGGACAGAATGACCTTTTACTTGTGAGCAGTAAATTATCTAGTTCCTGTCACTGATGGACACCCCCCAAAACTGAATCTCTAATGTTTGACTTGCATGTATATACATCAGCAAAGCTTCATGAGTCCTTCTATTTCCTCCTTGCTGAAATCAATAGGTTATTCATCTTAATAAATGATTTATTTCTCTATTTATAGGAAGATATTTTCATGAGATAGCTCAAAGAAACACATTTTTGTTCAAAAGGCATTTTATATACAAGTGAGCCACTGGAGTTGGGGCAAGACCAGCTGCCAGGCATCTGGCAGGTTTGTTGGTATTGGCACAGACGCTAGGTATCTGGCAGTTAGCTTTTGCATCTGTTACAGTTTTAGAGAGAGCCATAGCTACATCAGAAGCCACAAAGGCATGTCCTGGTTATTTTTCATGGTGTCTGCATTGATGTAACACATTCTAGGTTCACAGGCCACATCTGAAAAAAGAAAGTGTGAAATAAGAAGGCCACAGCCCCAGTTTGGCTGCAATGGCTGGGTGATAAAGACAAGAAAGCCACTTTCAAACCCAAATTTATACATATATGTTACACACACACATCATTTCTCAAGTTGCTGATGCTAAAGCAAATAGCAAGTGAAGTATATTCACTACAAAACACTCCCCTCTTTCAGGGTTTTGATATGCATGGTCCAGTCTGAGGCTCAGAGATAAAAGATCTTGTTCTGGGAATAGTAATTTAAAAACAAGTCAAAGGTCCACTCGAGCCTTTACAGTAATATTTTTTTTAAATAAAATAATTGGCTTTAGGAAGCATTAGGTCATACAAGTGTATGCTAAACTTCTAGTTTCAGGATGTTCTTAAGATTGCGATGAATGCTCATTGTTGCTGTTTAGACTATCATGGCAAGCATTGCACATTATCTAAGTACATAATAGAGAATGATAATTTTCAAAAATGGAAACCAAGCTGAAGCAAATCTTAGGCCACATTTCTGTAAGGAGCACAAACATATTTATAGACTCCATGCAGGTCCTGGGTTCATTGCACAATGAGGGCCTTATCCAGTAACATTTCATAATTGTCCCTTTTGGCTTCAAACTCAAGGAAACATTCATTTTAGTGCTGTTTTAGTAGAAGCTTACTGCCAAATGCCCACTCAATGTATGTCTGCTGCAGCTTTTAGCAACTGGTACTTGTCCAGGTTAGCTGTCGGGAATTCTGTCATCTTGTGAAGTGCTCACATAAATACAAACACCTGATAAGTGATAGTGTGTGTGTGTATGCACATCACATACAAGTAGCATATTCAGTGCATCTCAAATGAGCTAAGACTGACCAGGTGAAACATGCATAACTCATTACCTGAGGGCAAGAGTCACCTATGTGCCAAGGTCTCCTGCAAGCCCTTTTGCAGCTTTCACCCCCAAGAGACTTTACACATGGATTCATGGGTATTAGCCTCCACTCTCCTACTTTCCTCCTGCATAAATCTGGATGCCTGAAAGTGTTGCCTTTTTGAGAAGAAGAATTTCTCCAGCTCACACTACAGGGCAAACTTGGGGAGGTAAAAGTGACATTGCTTGTTGCCAATTAAACCATGCTGCAAGATGTGTGAACAGCTTTGAAAATTTACTCCTAAGAGACTTAAGCCAACAGCAGCCAAGACATCCAGACTTAAAGCTGAAACTCCATATGTTCCTCACCTGCTTGTCTGCATTTCAGCATCTATGGGATATGAAAGCTGCCTACTATTCAGCAGTCTCTATAATATTTAACTCTCAGCTTCCCCAACCGGGGCAGTATAAATGAGACCTTTTAATTTTCTTTCCTAGGGAACCACAGAAGTAATTCCTAGAAACCTAAAGATCTTACCCATTTCTCCTTCTTCATTGCCCTGCCTCCAACGAGCCCGGCATTATAGCAACTGCCCACTATCCCTCCCATGACTTGAGCTGCCCCAGAGTGAGATAGGATGCTTCTCTACCATTCTACAATTTCAGCTAAGCACCTCGGCCATCCTCCAAGCCTGGCAAAGTGCAGGATCAAACTCTAGACCTTCCATAATTCAGTTCCTTCAGGCTGTGGTTCATTTTATTTCTGGCAGACAGCTAGAACAGCTCTTTATACCAGAGCCCCACAGCTGTGGAGGGTGGAGAAGTAAATATCTAGCTAGAATAAGTCTCAGAGGCTCACCTTTCAAAATTGGGGCTGCAATATTAGGCATAAACCCATTCACATGCACATGAGATGCCATTTTAACCTGTAAACAAGCATAGCATTTCATGTCATGTCATGTTGGTATATGCATTACACTGATGCCCCATTGCATGTGTGACAATTGTACTCAGTCTGTGTGTACAGCTGCTCATTGGCGCAGGGAAGCAATTGATGCAGACAAGTAAGTGCCAGTGTATTGTTACAGGTACATTTTCAGTGTCTAATCTGAAAGGTACCTGTAACAAATATGTTTAGTCTGGAGTTATATAGAAGTTTAGGAGGTTTTGTGCTTTCAGTGTGGTGGGCCATTTCACACCACAGTCAGCAACAAAAACTGAAACTATCTGGGAAGGAGTTCATTTACATTTTGTGTTTCCTCCTCTATCTTTTCAAAGGCCTATAGTTCATCAAACCAACACCCCTTCATTCTGTGTCATCAACAGAATAAAGAAATAGACACTGTACATCCTCCCCTCCATTCTCTTGTAAATGGAGCAGCAGCAGAATTGAAAAGTAGTGCAAAGAGACTGTGAGCGAATTATGCATTTGGCTCCTCTCAAAAGCCAAGGAAAAGCTCAAATGCCAGGTTTTCTCAAATGCAAGCCATCTTGACAGCAAAACAACACTGGCAGACTACTGGGGCACAAGTATTTTCTTTGCTTTTCAAAAATAAAATCCATTCCTTCCATTTTCTTTTAATTAGAAACATCAACAAATACAAAACCAAATGGGGGGAAATGGTTTAAAGCAACAACAAAGGCACATTTAGCAACTAAAGGGAAGTAGGAAAGAGCAGCTGTCTCTTAATGATCACCATCCACATGAAAATTAATCCAGGTCTTTATTACAGATTCAAACCAACAAAAATAAAACACAAGTCAGATTGGGAGCCCAGGTGGGGAAGGAATAAGTAGAGCTCAGTTCAGCCGTAGCCTGTCTGGTCATCTCTGCAATAATAAGTACCTTTGTCTGCTATCACTACAATTATTCTCTCATCATCATTCCTGCAGATGAGATTCGATAGTTGCTGCCCCCATTCTGAACAGCAGACACTTCAGGGCAAGCTGCTAAAGCAATAGCTCCAATTATTCATGTGGTATATGGAGACATGCGGTCTGGAAGTTTCATTTTTTTAATTAAAAATAACGTAATTTCCATGAAATACATGTGTTTAAATATAGTGTAGGCAACAACACAGCATTGATCAAGTAGTAGTCCTTCCTCCTAGTAGGTCTTTTCCCCAGCTGGGACCCAGTCTTGCACAGGCAAAAAATCCCCTGAACCCAGGGGAAGCTATCTGAGTGAAAACTGCAGCACTAGGCTTCTCATTTCTATCTGCTCTATTTTGCGCACCTCTTGTATAGGCATGCAATGGAAATGGAGATGGGGAAAGGTGTAAGGAGCCAAACCTCTACAAAAGCTACAATGCAAAACTGTAGCCCCTGTGCTCCAGACAGAGGGAGGACGGACAGCTCTCTCCTCACCTTATAGCCCAGAGCAACTCAGGGGTGATCTGGTGGCCGGCTGTAAGTTTATCAGGGGTGCTCACCAGGATTTGGGGGAACATCTGTTCACCAGAGCACCCCAAGGGATGACGAGGTCAAAAGGTCACAAACTCCTTCATGACCATTTCAGGCTGGACATAAGGAAGAACTTCTTTACTGTCCGAGCCCCCAAGGTTTAGAATAGACTGCCACCGGAGGAGGTTCAAGCACCTACTTTGAACGCCTTCAAGAGAAATTTGGATGTTTATCTTGCTGGGATCCTATGACCCCTGCTGACTTCCTGCCCCTGGGGCAGGGAGCTGGACTTGATGATCCTCTGGGGTCTCTTACAGCCCTAATGTCTATGAGATCTATGAACTCCACCTACCAGACAGAGACCAAAGTAGGCCTTGAGGGCCTGTAAGTTCATGGAGAACAGTGGTGCTTGGGGGACAGTGAAGCTCTCTACCTCTGCTTACACTGGGCAGTGCCTACAGCCCCATGGTTTTCTGCTGCTGCGCACGCACCTGTAAACTAACAAGCTTTTGCCACAGACTGCTAACGTGTTTTGTTCCTGTTTCACTAAGCGACACGGGTCCTCTAATCACCATCTGCAGAAAGTCAACTTGGGAGGGAGAGAGAGAAAGACAGACAGACAGAGTTAATAGTCAACCAGTGGCAAAAGAAGCTTGTATCCATATTTACCATGAAAGACATTTGCACACAGAAATATTTTGCACATTTAAAAGCACACTTAATACTTCACATCAAAATCAGCTGCTATGGAGAAAGTAACAGAACAGCCTATTTTCTGCTGCTTGAAAAATTTCAGCACATAAATCTACTTGCCTCAGATGTTTCTCTTCCTTGGAAGAAATGGTAGGTAAATTGTTCCTGTGGAAGATAATCTTGGATTAAATTATTCAGCATGTGATGGGTAAGGACCCACTGATTTTTAAAATAAGCTGCTTCTTTTTTGGTAAATAATAGTAGAAAAATGATACATTTCCAAGTAGTTTTATAGCTTTTTGAATGTTGTTCCCATGAGACCTGCTTTGGAATTCAAGCACATTTCTTTCCAGAACTCTTGCACAGAGCCATATTGTGTAAATGACATTTGGCACTCTTGTCCCACATATTTTGCATAGGCTTAGCGTAAGGCAGTGGGGTGTGTAATACATTTGTGAAGAAGTGAATGTTACATGGATAATATTCAATTGTGCTTCTCTTAAATTAATCCTTTTATAGAGAATATCATTTTTCCCAGTATCTTATTCTTTACTCTCAGTTTTATTATCGGACCCCTTATCCAATCCAAATCAGGCTCTGTGCATACACTAAACGAGAGACTTCTATCCTGATGAGCCTGCAATCTAAGTAGCCAAAGTAGACTAATTGTAGAAGAAAGCATTATTAACCCCATTGTTCAGAAGTGGAGCTGAGGCAGAGAGAAAATAAAGGCTGATTTGTGTTACAGATTTTTGCACTGGTGTAACTACACCAAGAAAGCTGAGCAGTGCACAGCTCTAGGGTGAAATCCAGGCTCTGCTGAAGTCAGTGTCAAAACTCTCATGGATTTCAGTGGAGCCAGGATTTCACTTTTGGCTCACTTGAGTAAACCTATTTCCGAGGTATAAAATATCCATTATATAGACAAAACTTAACTTTCCCGAAGTTCCACAGGGCACCCATGATACCTAGGAGGTGAACTCAGCCCGAGTTCCAGTAAGATGCCCTCACCACAAGGCTACTTTTCACCTCCATAATTCTTGGATTTGATACATCCTTTTGTCATTTTAGGTCTGTTATATTGTCAGGTTCTGCAATTTCTATTCTCATTCTTCTAGACCAAGAGAAATATATGGCACTATGAAATCAACCATTATGTTTGTTCTTCTAGCATTATTTTGTTTCTCTCTTTACAATAAAAGTTTTCAAGGCCTTTTCTTTATTAAAAGGATCACTAATCCTCACTGGAAACTGTAAAATAAAATGTGCTCTTTTATTTTAGGAGTGTTTTTTTTAATGTTTCTCCAAACAGCTAGATTCATTTTAGAGTGAGGCAACAAATAGCTCTCCTGGGTATATGATCACATGTGCAGAATAATTGGCTTTCCAAGTAAGACATCCTTGTTCTATTTGGCCTTTAGCAGATTCTGATTGTCAACTGATCCTAGCAAGGTCTCCTTGTGACACACTCTCTCCTACCTGTTGCTGCGTATCTTTAATCAACTAATTAATTCAGTAGGAAATCTTACACTATATTAATTTTTGTTTCCAAGAACAGATGTGCTTATTAATCCTTCCTTCCAATTCCTTCCTCTCTGAAGCAGATTGTGGTAGGTTTATACAACAATATAACGGCAGCAACGAGCATCCAATCCCAGAATGGAAAAAATCCTGAATTTTAAGCCTTTAATCTCTCTTCACCTCGGCTCCACATCTATACAATGAGGACAGTAATGGTATCCTTTCATGCTTTGCCTAATTTGTCTATTTAGAGAGTAAATTCATCAGGACAGGGACCATCTCTCATGAGGTGTTGGAAACACAGTGAGCTCCAGAACTGGGTAGTTCAGGGAGACATAAATGTTGTGTCTTGTTTTCTGATTGCGTTGTCAAGGCAAACACCTCAAAAAAATCAAAGGTAAATGGCATCGCCACATATAGTAGAAAAACAAAAGAACAGCTTTACTGCTGAGAGCAGTGGGTATACTGAACTAGCTGACTTGGCTCTTTTTAAGAATGAAAAGGAACAATTTCACCTTTTTCTTGGTGAAAGGTATATCTGCCGGTCCTCGTTTCTGAGACATCTTTATCATGAAGATAGCAAAGAGGGAGCAAAGATCATGAATGGACCAGAAATATAAGCGTCGACTTGAGAAGGTTGACGCTTCCCAGGTAAAAAGGGCCATACTGATGGGACATCAGCTGAGGACCAAGGTCAAGTTTATACTGTCCTGTGAAGGCATGTGGAAGACTTGGTAGCCGTCTTGTATAGCTCCTCAGATGCCTTTGCCCTCTTTATTGGAGACCAATACATACCCTGAGGCCACTGGGGAATAAGATAACAATCTTCCTGTTTCAGTCCATAGCATCTTAGCCACTCCATTATCATGGATTTGTCACATTTTATTCTGCACCTTAGCAAATGAGACAAAAACTGCATTCCTAGATGGTTTTAGTTCTTTACAGATAAGCCCTGAAGGCACCTATATATATTATCACTACTACAACATTTTCCTAAAGTATTTCCAGATTAGGTCATAAGAAAGGTCTGATGATGTCTTGAGAATGGCACATGATCTGGCAAATTCAGGTAACCTTGTGATAAGTTGAAAACCTTTGTCCTCACAAATGATGTAGAATTACTTTTCAAATGACACCGATCCATGGTGCAATGTCTGAGATAAAGTGACCCCTGTGAAGGAGTTGCCTTGATCATTATGAAGTAATATGAAATTCAGTTAATTCATTGGATTTGAATGGATGGCCCACTGGGGCATTAAGAAAACATGTAACTGGGATTCTAACTTCTTGCAAATTCCATAAGATCATTTATATTAAAGCTATTTGTCCAGGGAGCCCAGAAATGATTTATGTCAGAACTTAGCTCTGACATAAAAAAAAAGAAAAAAGAAAAACATTTCTTATTTATGGCTGAAAGATCATTTATTTTGAAATTAAGGGAACTTTGGGTAGACACTTAACTATGAGCTCAGGCTCAAGGAATGTTGAAATTAGCCATCAATAACTCTTTTTGCAAGATGAGCTCTCTGAGGGCAGAATGATAATACCACGCTGGGTGGTAATTTTTAAGCAGCTGGACTCCAATTGGGACTTGTCTGGTGCTGGTGTTGTTTCCAGGCTCTGCATGTCAAATTGGAATATAAGCGTACTGTACTTGTGATGTTCTTTATTTTTTCCAGAACTGGTTGCAAGATCCAGAAGAGGCTTCTTTTATATGCACCTGTTGAGTATTGGACACGTCCCCTGGGAATAAGATCTCACAACAATCATCACTCAGAAATTTCAGAACAAAAGTTTCCCTATTTATCCCAGTGAGAGCCAGTCATTGCAAGTGGCAGCTTCACTACAGTTTGATTCTTGACATCCAGCCTCTGATGAGAAGCTCTTTGCCAGCTGGATCAGAAGGTTTCATGCTGACTTCAGTATGATTCACAAAAGGCATTCCAGGAATCAAGCAGACAGCAAGTTGTCTAGAATGAGCACACCAGCCAACCACCACTCACTGGGCGCATCTACATGTGAAATTAGTGCGTCTGAATAAGCTCTGCCACAATTTGTGCTGGAGTTTATTGCTCTGAGGCATAGCATTTACATGTGGACTGCAGCAAGTTGAGCTGAGGCAGCACAGTCCCAGCTGGCAGGGGGCCCAGAAGGTCAGCCTGCCAGCCCAGAGCTGCTGCGCCCTAGCTCAGTATGCTGCAGAAGGGCTGGCTGGGGCATGAGGGTACTACAGTGCAGGGCTAGGCAGCAGGCAGCTCTATACTGTAGTACCTCATGCCCCAGCCAGCCCCAGTCACCATCTACACTTGTTGCAGCACACTAAGTAACTCCACCACACACTGGCGACTGGTGCCTCCTGCCTCTGGGGGACACCAGTGGCCAATCGCCAATGGGGGGAGGAGTCCCCAGCAGCTGATCGCCAAACCAGGGGGGTCCCCCAGCAGCCAATCGCTGACCTCAGAAGTGCCAGTGGCAAAACCAGAAGTGGGGAGCACTGACCAGTGCCCCCTCCCCACCAAGAAGCGTAGGTGGCACTTTCAACTTTGCTGCCAGTGCTTCTCGGGGGGGGGGGGGGGGGGGGGGGCCGGCCGGGGCCCCCCCACCCCACGGGCCGCACGGGGCACC